GAAATGTGGTCGTGCTACTTGCCATGAGCATTCCCATCCTAACGCCTGTACTCCTTTCAAATTTGAACGCTCTACTCTAGGTCCACGGGAGCAGGAGTTATGAATTTCTGGTAGGGCACACACACCTACACACACAAACACATCGACAAATTAACAGTCACAGTTAGCGTTTTATATGTAGTAGAATCTTTCTCGAAAATAAAGCAATGACTTGCGTAAGCAGTAGGATGGCCCGAGGTAGCCAGACCGATCATAATTTCCAAACTGGTCCATATCTCAACGTTCTTAATAGTAGATGTTGTGGAGGACAGCTCATGGCGTAGATGGAGAAATCCTTTTTACGGCTCGCTTCGCTAGATTTACCTCCAGGAAGACGGCGTGGGAAAGGTATCGTCCGCATAGACTTAACAAAAACGCAGCAAACTTTTCTGCATCCACTTATTAGTAAAGGGCGTTTGTGTAGAGAGCAGCTAGCCCTCAAAACCCACTATGAAGGGCAATTGGACATTAAAATTTGGTAGGGTGCTCAACAAAGCCAGTAGCGTGGCATCTTAGCGGCGCAGCAAGAAAGGAGCATCATAGGTACCCTTCCATCAGGATCCATCATAAAAAAATTATGACTGTAGGGGAAATGCTGAAGGCGGATCTTGTTGTGTTGGTTAGGATTTAGAAGAGGAAGATTGGAGTCCTTTTGAACTGGGGGAGAGAAGTATTGTATCTACTACCGAGGCTATTTTCTGAAGGAAGTTATGTTCAGTATGAATATACAAAAAGATTAGTTCAAAGAGTGAGAATTTCGGGGGTTGTTAGTTCAAACAATGGCTCCTTTTAATCCTTTCTGACTTTTGCCGAACTTGTTATTTGCTGAACACTCATGTAAGTGCTTACAAGTCAGCACTTACATGAGTGTTCGGCAAATAACAAGTGTGTCCCAATGTCTTATAGTTAGAAGAAAATCATAAACACATAGAACATGGAAATTATTAAGCATTTATTAATGTACAAGTATTTCCATAGAGATAAATTTAAGGCGATGAAACGAAGTGATGAACTTGAATAGTGGCGTCGATCACAACAGTTTACAAATTCTGTCCTGAAAAAAAGTTTTTGAGTAAGTTCCTCTAAAACAGGTAGCAGGAGATGGTTCCGTGCTCCGGTACTTCATATTATTTGAAAATAACCGCCTGAAACCCCACAAATGTGCAAACGTTTTCTGCGGTTTTCGGAAGGTTTCTGTGGAAAGACTATAGGAGTTACACATCTGCATGCGCAGAAAACGTTCGAAGATTAAATAAAGGCTCATATTCATCTTTCTAGTTTCCAGTTCTGAAAGGTTGGGACCTTCTTTCCTACACTGTTACATCATTAGTTATGGATCCCAAATTATTGGCGGTCGGATGAGCTTCGTCGTGAATGATATCAGAACATAAAGTAACCTCGATCTTCCACCGAGCTACAAACCTTGCTGGGTAGCGGTCGTAATCGATGTAATAGTCGTAATAATAAATACGTCGTAATACCGCAGGAGTTAAATTGAGTTGGTAAGTACTCTTATCAGTCGTTATCAGCTGTTATCAATCCCTATCATTCACCGTCTACGATCCCACCATACTCTACATCACATTCCAAAATGTCAAGGATCCACTATTAACGCCATTATTATACTGGCTCTACGCTTTCCACGATTTTCAGAAGCCCTTGTCAGTTCTATCAGGTCCTGGCCTGGCACAAACCGTTCTCGATCTTGTCGCCGGGTACCTACGACCCTGTCACATCTCACATAACCTACTAAAATTCCAAGATTCCATTATCAACAGAAAATGCGTTACAGATTTAGTGGCTCTCGCCTTCTGTGGTTCAGTGGCTCTCGCCTTCTGTTACCAGTCCCTATCACTTGTTATCATTCTTTGTCACCAATCACTAACGGTCCCTTCACATCCTACACCATCTGCCAAAGTGCCAAGGCTTTACCTCTAACCCGAAGGAAGTTACGGATACTCAGGCTTTTGCCTTTTAAGGCTCTTTATCAGTTTTTATCGATAGTTGTCGCTTCCAGTCACCTACCATCAGTGTTCCCATCCCGCCGTCTATCTCTATTTCAAATTTGAATGCTCCAGCTACGATGGGACCGGAGTTATGAATTTCCGGTCGGACAAACACACACTCATACTCACACACACACTTA